AAGGCATTACATCATTAACTTCTTTAAGCTTACAAAACGATTTGATTTTTCATTCATTTCTCTGCTCGGTCTAATCTATATTTCATGTAGATTGTTATAACATGAATTGCATTGGGATTTTCCGTACTGGATTATCTGTCTTCAGATATTTTATTTATTTTCAGATACAACTGTATTCTGATAGTTGACACTGTGGCATCTCTTGGTGGCGTACCATTCTTCCTAGACGAATTAGGTAATTAGAAATGAGGTTTTGTTATCCCAGCCAGAGATGTTATGCAACGAATACATCCAACATTCTAAATTTCAACAAAACACAAACTTAAATTGTTTTTACTCTCAGCGTAAACGTAACTACAGTCATGTGGCTGAAAAAATGTATATAACGTTTCTTCGGATAGAATAAAAAGTGTCTACATCCCCCTCCCCCCACAAAACTAACACCCCACCATATTTATAATGATAAACCCTTTAGTCCGAGTTTATGGAAATTTGTTTTTTCACATTAATGTTAATATGAGACTATTGTATCTTGTCTCTAGATATTGATCTGGTCTACTCGGGTTCTCAGAAGGTCCTGAGTGCACCACCTGGAACAGCACCAATAACATTTGGTCCCAGAGCAATGTGAGTCAAGTCAAGCCATCAATGTATACACATCAGCACTCTGTCTAAACAAAATTTACAAACAACTTACTCGGTGACCTCACTAAGCTGCTCAGTAACCTCACCAAGCTTGATGACAAAATTTTATCATCTCAACAATTTTAAAATTTTTTCATATGTTGACATGTAACAAAATTATCAGTTGAAATAGGGTTGTCATGCATTGGGCCATTCCAGTTTATATCTGCACCCCCCCCTGTTGATGTTGTTGGATTTCCAACACTGTATGATGGGGAAAATACCCCGGAATTCCAACTGTATATGGAGAAACAGAATCTGGAAATCCAGACAAGTATGGAAAAAAAAATCCTGGAAATCCAGGCAGTTATGGCTACTTAATAAAATATGACCTAGTTTGTCTCGCCACATACCGGTTGATGAGGTTGGATTTCCAACAGTATGACTAAAAAAATTGGGCCAGTATGAAATAGTTATTACTGAAATTAGAGCTTATCAACACTGTGAATCAGTTTGGCTTTCCATTATCAAATATAAAATTTTGAACTTGGTAAATTAGCATATGATGAGAGTTGTATTTGGAAATCCTACTCTGTATGGTGGCACAATGGAACTCATCAACACCATAAGTAGGAACTATAGTTTTTGATTTCCATTACTGTATGGTTATTAGGTGAAATTTGCTTTGAAGAAACACTGCATCAAATGAGGTGAATTCTCTGTGAAGAATTTACATATACCGGTAAATCTGAAACCAATGTAGTCATTATTCCGTAAATTACTGCTTGTAATAGAATTCTAAAGGAATTGATAAATTCACAATTATATTTGAAGACTTACATTGATTCTGATGCCAGAAATTTTGTTATTTCAGAGAGAAAATTAAAAACAGAAAGACCAGAGTGCCTTCATTTTACTTTGACTTTGAAGGGTTAGCAAACTACTGGGGATGTGATGAAGGTCCTCGTAGGTGAGTATACTCATTTTCCTCATTCAAAAGTGTGTGTTCTTAGTATTAATGTTTTAAACAAAGGAAATTTTTGCCTCATATTGAATGCAAGCGGTAATTTATTGGTGGTGTTCAATCACAGATTCTCCTCATTGATCTTGGCTCATTTCAGCACTCAATTTGTGTGGTGGTTTTCAATTTCTATGATTTTTATTTGAATCGCCTGTATCTGCTTCTTCCGGCATACATTAGCATAGTTTATTATCACCAGTATTTGTTTCTAATCTTCTCCTAATATATTAATAAAATGCAAGTACATGTAGAGTTCGTGAATAGTTGCGTTTTTACGTAATGGTGGGGAAATTTCAGGATATTGTTTTCAGTTTGCAGAGAAGACGACAAGACAAATGTTAGGGTTTTCTGTGTAGTATGTGTGGAAATATGAACATATTGACTCTTTGTGACCATACATTATATCTGTATGACCATATACTGACATCATTATGACAATATGGCCATACACTATACCAGTGTGGTCATACTGAAATCTTTGTGGCCATATATTTTATGTATGTGGACATAGTGACGTGTGTTGCCATATATTACATGTATGTGTGGCCATGTGTCTCTGATATCTCTATGGCCATACATATCTCTATGGCCATTATATTTCTATAGCCATTGTGTCACTTCTGTGGTCATTGTGAAATCTCTATAGCCATTGCACCATTATGACATTCCTATGGCAACTATGACATCTCTCTGTCCGTGGTGACTCTTCTATGGCCTTTGCGACACTTCCGGATATGCCTATGGCCATTGTGACATTTCCATGGCAATTTTGACATCACTATGACCTTACATTGAGTTCTAAACTACTTATTTGTATTTATCCATTTAGATATCACCACACTGCACCTATCAATAGTATGTATGCACTCAGGGAATCATTGGCATTCCTGGCAGAAGAGGTAAGGACATGCACCCACCTGCAAGAATTATTACATATACCATATTTGCTCTATTAGTAGCGCTTGCACTTTATGTAAATTATACTAAGATGTTTCAATGATCCAGTATATAACAAATGTGATTTTTGGTACATGCACAAATGTATATCTGCACTTTTTATGTGCTTCTAATAGCGCAATTATGGTATTTTTAACAAATTTAAAGCAAAAGTATCAACAAATTCTATACACTAGATTTCGTATTGACTAGCTAAACAGACTTCTCGCATGCCACTGAAATATACAAAAACCATGTGCTGAGGGCAGAATTACCGTACTTATTCGGGTAAGAGCCCATGCCTGGACAAACGCCCACCCCCCACTTTTGACACAATAAAGAAGTTGAAGTCATATCCGGGCACACGCCCAGGGGGTCTTTTTCTACACAAAACAAAAAACAAAAACAAAACTATTTTCTATTCGTTGACTGTGGTTGTATTAATAGTTGACTTTCTTGAAGTCAGTCGTGATACTTATAAAAATTGTTAATTGCGTAAAACAAGGAGTGAACGCAAAATAGCTGTGACAGCTTTCTGCCTTCAGGGCAGCACGTTCACCGCTGATTTTTTTCAGAATCATAACAGTCAGCAAGTCTATAAAAATAAATATTAAAGCAGAAACGGTAGTTCTCTTTTTGAAATATGTCGTGGCCGTTTGGTTTGTGCTTCCTTAGAAACGATTCAAGCAAATCGTATAAGAAGAGGCCAGAAGAGCCGCTAAGCAAGTGTCGCACTTGTTCGGCTTTAGCGTCGTCGACAATGAAAACAATGTTGCAGTATTGTAGCAACCCGTACCGGGGAGAAAGGTTGAAATCCGTGGATTAAAAGTGCTAAGTCCAAATTGTGTGGGACGATATCGACGAACTTCAGGAATAAGTTGTAGGGATTTTGTTCGACGGCTACAGTGACGCCGGCTTGGACATTTGAGGGTTTTGAGTTTGACGAAGATGGCAAAGAACGTACAAATAAAGATCTGAGATATGTTTTCAAACAGCTATGAATTTTTATAATTTTTACTGTGTAAATTTGTAAATTAATATTGATCTTGCATGACGGTTGATTCGTAATTTGTCGAGACCGAAAATCATTTTACGCAGTTTAACCCCTGACATTTTCATTCATTTTGAGTTCACGCGTATTGGGCGTGTTTGTCGGCGGGAAAATCCAAATTCAAATTCACATTATAAGCAGTACATTATTTTTGTTTTACCTCTAGTGTTGCATAGTGTTCATTTATTTCCGTTGCATGTTTTCATTTGCCGTTCTATCCCCTGCCGCAGTTCGATCTGCCTGTTGTCAATTTTCGCGAATTTTCTTTTTTTTTGCCGGGATCTCCTGGCAAATGCCCACCCCTTCTTTTTGGCAATTTTCCATGTTCAAGACCCTGGGCTTATACCCGGATAAATACGGTATGATCATAAAGGGGACATAACAGTCATACGCACTCTGAGGACCATCTTAACAAAATATTCACAATTCTGCTACTTTTTGTAGGGTTTAGAGAAATTTTGGGCACGGCACAAAGAATGTGCTGAACTACTTTATAAAGGTGTTGAAGATATGGGTTTGAAGATGCTTGTTCCAAATAAGGTAAGAAGGTAGTCAAAATATGGAAACTAATGCCAAATATGGTTAGGCGACTGTCAAACAGATGGATTCTATTTCCAAATATGGTAATGAGGTAGTCAAAATCATGGCATCTACTCCCAAATATGGTAAGGAGTCTGTCAAACACAAGGATTCTATTTCCAAATATGGTAAGGAGGTAGTCAAAATCATGAATTCTATTTCCAAATATGGTAATGATGTAGTGTTAAAATGTTATTTAGCTGTCGCTACCCATTCGCCCAAGGCTAAATTTATTGACAATTGGCTGAACAAAAATTAAGCTAAATGATTCGCTGTATTACTTATATGTGGTTCCCTTAGAATCCATAACAAAGTAATTCTTTAACATACATGTAACTTTTTTTGAAAAAATGACAATGGAATTAATTCCATTGGCAATCAGGTCAGTTAAGTCAATTAAGGTAGCGAGAAGGGAAATTTTCACTTTTTTCTTGATTTTTCAAAAATTGATAAAACGTTTACTTTAGACCTTGATA